ACACTCGACTCTACCCTCTTCGAACAGGAACCCCAGGATTCGCATCTGACCTTTCCCATCCCTCCAACCCCATTTCAGGCGGGCTGCCCTCACATGCGGCCCCACACGATCGCGGAGCAGAGGCAGCGTGAAGTCAGAAACTACGAGCCACAGAAAGGAGAGGAGGCAAAGGGGGTGTGCGACGGAAAGGTGCCCTTTTGTCCGGTAAAGACGGCCAAACCTACAAAGCTAAGTGGGCGTGAAGGGGCCCGATCGCGCGGTGCATTTCCGGTAACCATCCCGGGTTTCGCAGCCCCCCTGCCGGGAAAGCCTCTCCGGGGAAGGCCGGCAGGTTTTCCAGGAGCCATTGTCAAGCCCCCACGACACCCCGGCCGCCGCGCCAGGCTCCTGCGCGCGCTGCCGCGCCGGGGCGGCCGCCCCACGTGGGGAGCGCCCGGGGCCGGCCGGAGCATCCTCCCGGGCGGCCCGGGCCCCGCGCGCGGCCGGCCGCGTGCTTCCCCGCGCCCCTACCCCGCGCCGGCTCGAGGCCGACGGCCGCGCCGGGGCCGGCCTCCGGGTGGGGGCGCGGGGGCGCCGCCCGCGGCTCGGGCGCGAAGGGGGAGCCGCGCGGAGGCCCGGGCGCGGGGCCGCGTCCGGCCGCACCATGTGGCGGCGGCGGCGGCTGATGGGAGCGAGGCATCATGGCGGAGCACAATAAAGAGAGGCTTCTCGGGAGGGAGGGAGGGGGAGGAGAGCGAGGGAGGGGGGGAGGAAGGGGGGTCTCCTCCGCCCGCGCCGAGCAGGCCGCAGCGCCCCCGCCTCGCCGCGCCGTCCGCCGCCGCGGCGCCACCAGGCCCCGGCCCCGCGCGCACAAAAAAGGGCGCCGAGGCGCGCGCCGGCCCGGCCGCCCGGCGCCCCCCGCGCCCCGGGCCCGCGGCGGCCTGCGGGCCGGGCGGGCGGCGAAGATGGCGGCGCGGCCGGCCCCCGCCTCGCCCGCTCCTCACCTGAGGTCTCGTCGGCCCCGTCGTGGTTGGAGTTGAGCTCCTTTTTACTGACTTTGGCCGCCGGCGCCGACATGGTGCTGCTCCGCGTCGGGGGGGGAGCGGGGAGGGGGAGAGAAGGGAAGGCGAAGGGGGCGGGCAGCGGCTTCCCCTCACGCCACACGCGCGGCGCCCGCTCGGTCCGGCCGCCTCCTCCCGGCGCTCGCTCGCTCGTCGCTCGCCCTCCCCTGGCTCGCGCGCGCTGCCCTCGCGGCCTGGCGACGAGGGCGGGGCTGGGGCGGCGTGCCGGGCCCCGGCCCGGGCTCCTGCTTACGGAGGGGAGGCGGCGGCGGCGGCGGCGGCGGCTGGCTCCCTCACTCACGCTCCGCGCTCCAGCTCGCTGCTCGCTCTCCCCGAGCCGCCTCCTCCTCCACCTCCTCCTTTCGGCGAGGGGCGGGCGGCAGGGCGCAGGCGCGCCAGGCCCGCGCGCACGCCCCACCCCCGGCCGGAGAGGCTCGCGCCGCCTCGCCATTGGCCGGGGCGCCGGGCCGAGGGGGCGGAGCCGCGGCGCGGAGACACAGGGCCTGGCGAAGAGGCGGGAGGAAGGAACGCCGCGACGTACGGGCCGGCCCCCCGCGCCGCGCGCCCCTCCCCCGCTTTCCCCTTCTCCAGCCCGACCCGGGACATTTGCGCGCTACGGGCGCGCGGCGGCCCGAGGGGCGGGGCCTCGCCGGGCTGCGCGCAGGCCCCCCGCGGGCGCGTCACGTGGTGGCGGAGCGGCTTCCCTTCTCCGCGGGGTGGCACGGGGCGCCGGGCGAGGGGTGTTCGCAGCCCCTCCGAAGTGCAGGCCTTGTAGTAGCCTGGCTTCACGTCGGGGCCCAGAAACACGCCCACCCCGGGGTCTGCGCCCTGGGATGCTGCTGGCGCATCCCTCTTCGTGGGAGAAGGAAGGCGGCACCTCCATCCTATTTTCCAGAAAGGGAAGCTGCCCGTCCGACCCATTCCGGCTTGTTCGCAAAGCCCGAAGCTGTCTAGACCGCTCACGGGGCCTTTTCCTGCCTTTTAGTCCAAGCTCTGCCCAACAGGCTGTGTGCCCTTGAGCAAGTCACTTTCCTTCGCTGTACCTATTTCTGTTAAGAGATTATAAAATTTTAGAAAGGCTGACAGAGGCCGGCCCCGTGGCCGAGTGGTTAAGTTCACGCGCTCCGCTTTGCGGCCCAGGGTTTCGCTGGTTCGAATCCTGGCGGTGGACGTGCCACCGCTCATCAGGCCACGTTGAGGCGGCGTCCCACATGCCACGACTAGAAGAACCCACAACGAAAATATGCAACTATATACTGGGGGGGATTTGGGGAGAAAAAGCAAAAAAAAAAAAAAGACACAAAAGGCTGACAAATGGGACCGTTTTGGCAGTGGTGACATCTAAGCAGGGCCTCACTGAAGTGGAAGTCCTTTGAAGGCAGGACAGTGCCCCATTCATCAGCGGATCCATTTAGCCCAACTCAGTGCCTAGTACTTGCAAGAAAGTGTACCAAGTGCTAAGCACCAGTCCCAGCAATGTGCAGCATGCATCTCACAGAAGCTGCACAACTAGTGGGTGGGGTAGGCGGTGTTAAGTTCATTTCACCATGTCAGAGATGATGGGACCAGAAGGCCTGCTTTAGAGGCCAAGTCATGAATTACTGTGTAGGGCCAAGGCGCTTCAGTTTAAATAACACTTTCCAGGTGGTGCAAATGCACCACAGTCTACTTCCTCCTCCAGGGCCCCAACACACGGACCGCAAAAAGCCTGAAATCTCTCCTGGGAGTTTGTAACCAGAATTGGGGGTTAGATTATTAGCCTTCCAGCACTCACATTTTACTATTGGCTCGTAAAGCTCAAGTGGTGTCTTTAATGTTCAAGACAGTCCATGGTGAGTGATGGATAAATGTTAAATAATTGGCATCTAGGCAACAGGTACAGAAAACAAATGTCTTCTTGGGACTTTCCCCCAACTCCAGAAATTCATCTAATTCTTCCCCTCCAAACCTTATTCTCAACTGAGTCCAGCTCGATTTACACCTGTCCCAGTTAGATGGACTTTTTTTTTTTTTGAGAAAAATTAGCCCTGAGCTAACATCCGTGCCCATCTTCCTCTACTTTATATGTGGGACGCCCACCACAGCATGGCTTGCCAAGCAGTGCCATGTTCATACCAGGGATCTGAACCGGTGAACCTGGGCCGCTGAAGCAGAATGTGCGAACTTAACCGCTGTGCCACCAGCCGGCCCTAGATGGAATCTTTAATGGAAGGATTGTTAATACCAGTGATAAGCTGGTAAATGTTTGACAACCAGCTCCCAAAAGAGAAAAACACACCAAAAACCCTGATTTGTAGCATTTGCTGATTTCAGTGGTATATAAATATGCTCACCATGGACAATTCCCTGCTACCACTGTGATGTTACTTAGAGTTGGAAAGAAATACCAGCTCTAGCACACTGCTGAAGCATGTACCATGGGCCACAGGCTATGACAAGTACATGCATTTTCTCATTTAATCTTCATGAAATACAAAGTAGGTATTAATATCCTCATTTCATAAACTCAACTGTTTTTTTGATGCAAGTAGCAGAACCAAGATTCTAAACCAGGCTAGTGGCTAACAAAGCTGCTGTCCTAGGAGTGTTTCCAGTTTTTACATGGCCCACAGTAAGAGGCACATTTGAAATTAGGACCCAGTATACACCTACACACAAAACAATGCTTACCCATACCAAGTGTGGTGTGACTCAATCTATTTTATTTTTTTTTTAAAGCAGGTTTCACTCCACTAAAATGATTTCATGACCCACAAATGGGATGAAACAGTCTGAAAAACACTGTACTGAGGGCTGCTTCTTTTATACGCAAAGCCTGCTCACAGGTTGGTACCAGGGACCCAGATCATCTCCTACGTGCCTAATCTGCCCGTGTTTCCAGTGGAGCTGCAGGGACTTCAGGGAGCCTTGTAATGCCTTCTGATTGGGCAGTGGGCTTCAAGGCTCCCTTCTCACCATCCCATCCTTTAGAATCATCTGCTCCTCTTCCTGACCTTTCCCATAGCACTTCTTAAGATGAATGCAAGAAGCACACACTAGGAAGTGGAAGAGAAAGAGAAAGCAAAAGGGCAGTTGTTTCAGTAAACAAGGGAGTGGCATGGACACACCAAGAGATAATTCACCCACTGTGAATTATCCACTGTGGTCTCTCCTCTCTTCGACATTAGGAGCTCTGCATTATCTCCTTGGCCTCTCACCTCACTCTCAGAATTCCTCTCTCCTCTTCTTCTTTCCCAGCTTCCTTTGACAGAGGACAACCCCACAGCTTAAAGACTGAACAGAGAGATGCTGGTGTCCCCTACACTGCAGCAGTGTCCCAAGGTGACCAGGAAATCTTAGCTGGGATGGCCTTCAATAGCCCCCCACCTCTCTGAGCCTCCTTTTTCTGATCCGTAAAATGGGCTTATCCACAGCATTGCTGCTGCTGTGAGGGTTGATGGATAGATAAGTGCTTAGCACAGCGCCTGGCCGATCAGTGCCCAGGGAGTGGCATGAGCTGTTATTTGGACTTTAATGAACTGCCTCAGAAGGACTGTGGCTGCACCTTCCAGTCCCTTCTGGTCCTGTTAATTCTCCCAGGAAGCTAACTGCAAGTCCACCAGGAGGACTCATCCAAATTTTGCCGCTCCCAAGTGGGAAGGAATTTGCTATCCATCTTAAGAGCACTAATTGTGGGGCCAGCCCGGTGGCACAGCAGTTATCTTCGCACGTTCTGCTCCTCAGCGGCCCAGGGTTTGCCGGTTCAGATCCCGGGTGCAGACATGGCACCGCTTGGCAAAAGCCATGCTGTGGTAGGCATTCCACATATAAAGTAGAGGAAGATGGGCCCGGATGTTAGCTTAGGGCCAGTCTTCCTCGGCAAAAAGAGGAGGATTGGCAGTAGTTAGCTCAGGGCTAATTTTCTTCAAAAAAACCCAAAAAGCACTAATTGTGAGCCAATCGCTGTCTTAAATGTTTCACTTCTATTTAACCCTCACAGCAAGCCTAAAAGATAGGTACTGTTGAGCCCATTTTACAGAATAGGAAAGAAGTACAGGTTATGTCACTTGCTCAACAGGTTATGTCACACAGCCAGACAGAGCCAGGTTTCAAACCCTGCTGTCCAGCTTTGCCACACTGGAGAGTCAGCTGGGCGGGAGGCCTTTGCTTCCCACTTGGAAGGGGCTGGACCAAGACCCGGTAAAATCAATCTTGCCGTGTCACTCAGCAGATGTACAGGAGCACTCATCCAGTGCTCCTTCCATAAGCATGACTGGACCTTAGCCAAGTCAGCAAATTAGGAAGATTCATGGGCTCCAAGCCCCTCCTCTCTGCACTGAGCCAGCCCGCTGTCACATTTTCCTAGGGCAATGATTTCCTGCCTTCCACCTATCCAAACCCAGCCCTGAGAAGGCCCCACCACATCCCCACTCTATTGGGGAAGCCTGACCACCAGCACAATGCACTTTGTGCCTGGCTCCAAACGCAGCCCTTCCTTCCAAGGTAAGGGTTAATGGGGGGAGGGGCAGACATGAAACCGACAATTAACCATGTGAGGGTGGGGCTGGGGTGACTGGGTGCTGGGATGGCAAAAGGGGGCTCCTAATGCCCAGCAGCTGTGGCTCAAAGGAGAATGCCTGCAAGAAGTGACTTTTCAGCAGATCTGGAAAACCAGGAGATGTGCACAGGTAGGAAGAGGGGAGTGATCCAGGCAGAGGGCAAGTGCGCATTCAGGCCCCCAGGTGAGAGAATAGAGCCCCCGGAGATGAAGTGAGGTTAAAGGTGCAGGAGGAACAGGAGACTGCAGAGGTCGGCAGGGGCCAGGTGAGGAGTGCCCCGGAAGTCTCTTAGTCTATACCTCGAGGGCAATGGGAAGGCCAGGAAGGGTTTGCAGCCAGGGAGTCACGTGATCGGCTTTGCTCAGGCTGGAGGGGAGGAGGTGGCAGTAATCTGGGCCAGAGTTGTGAGCAGGCGGCAGCAGCAGGAAACGGAGGTGGATGGACACGAGAGGCAGTGAGGAGGTAGAAGCAGCAGGACTCCGGGATCTGACGGGACGTGGAGGGGTGAAGGGAAGGAAAGGGGTCGCGTGTGTCTCTCCAGCCTCAGCCTGGCTAGTGGTGCCACTTACGACAGGAAACCCAAGAGGAGTTTGGAGGCTGGCAGACAAGTTCGGTGTCGGCATTGGGTTGGGGACAAGGATGAGCTCCCATGTGCTCCAGGTCTCCCATTTTCACCCCTTCTGCTTCCTTCTTCTCATAAACTTAATCCACTCACCTCATGCTTAAAACCCTTCAGGGGAGTTTGGGATCACATCTCAAAAGGGACCGGGCAAAAAAAATCACTTACGAGTCGATCCTTGCAAATCCCTTAAGCCTCCACCAAAATGTCGTGTAGGGCCATACCTCCTTGCGGCAAGTTCACAGAGGTCTTCGACGTCTCTTCTGGCCTGGGGGCGGGAGGCAGTCTCGGTTTCTTCGTTTGAGGCGGGAGCGAATTCTGGCGTTTGGGGGCCATGCTGTGAAGAAAATCCAAGAGTCAGACCCAAAGGAAGACGCCAGTGTCTGGAAGAAGCGGTGAGAACAGAGGCTGTCCCATGTGCCGGAGGTTTAAATCTGCTCTGGAGCCGCCCAGCAGGGAGGAGATATTTACATGACAGTGGGACACCCGCTCCATTTCCCCTCCCCCAGCCTCGGACCTTCCCACCCACCCTCCAGTCGAAATCAACTCCTTTTGGTTGTGCTCTGCATTTCTCTACAGGGGCATTCTTGCCATTCGGTGGGCGGGGGAGGTATTTCCTTGTGGGGAGCAGTTCCTGCTCTCCAGAACCCTCCTGGTCTTGACTTCAAACACTGGCAGCCCATCCCCCAGTCCTTTCCCAAATCCCCTAGGTAGGCAGTGCTGCCCCCACTGAAAACTTGTCCTCTTCTTTCTTTCCTTGGGCTTCCAGAAGACTTAAACATGCCCTTGCCTCACCTCAGCCTGGAATGTTCTTCAGTCCCTCCGCCCCCACCACCATGTCTAGCTAACTCCTGCCCAACCTCCAAGGGATAAATGAATGTTGAGATAAAGGATTCCCGATCAAGAATTACAAAGGAAGAGGGAAACGTAGGTACTGGAGAGGACTTGGAGTAGCCATTCATTCTTCACTCATTCCAGAAAAGGATAGAAGGGAAGGAGTTCCAAGAACCTGTAGAAGACATCTTGTCTGGGGGTCACAAACCCCAATGCCTTTTGGGGCGTGTCAAGTAATAACTATGAGTAAGGCAAGCAACTGGAATTCACAACGGCTAGTGGGAGGTAACTTGGTACAACAACTCAGGAAAACTGGGTGCCAGCTCTGCCGAAGCTGAATGTGTGCCAAATTACTGTTACCCAGCGACTCTACTCCCAGCTGTATCCTCAGCGGAAATGCGTACCCGTGTGCACCAGTGTGTGTGATAAATGTGTACACGAATGTTTATAGCAGCGAGATTCATAATAGCCAAACTCTGGAAACAATATAATGCTTATCAACAGTTGAAAGAATACATTATGAGATGTTGATACAAGGGGACATGATAAAACATTGAAAACGAATGAGCCACAGCTATATGCCATGGCGTGGATGCAGTCTGCAAACAATGCAGAGTGAAAGACAAGACAAAATAGGATAGGCTGCGGATTTCATTGGTATAAAGTACAAAAACAGGCAAATCTGATCTATGCCGTTAGAAGTGGTTCCTCTTGCCGTGGGGAGAGGCATCGTTGGAAGGGGGCATGTAGGAGCCTCTGGAGTCCTGATGATGGTCCGTTTCTGCTTCTGGGGCTTACTACACCATTGTGTTTGATTTGTGTTGCCAGATCTTTGATTTTTCTGAAGAGAAACCAGAGATACGCATTTTTATGTAAACTCTCTGGATTTTAAAAAGTTAGCAACAGGGGCCGGCCCCGTGGCCGAGTGCTTAAGTTTGCGCACTCCGCTTCGTTGGCCCAGGGTTTCACCAGTTCGGTTCCTGGGCACTCACTTGGCACCGCTCATCAAGCCATGCCGAGGCGGCATCCCACATGCCACAACTAGAAGGACCCACAACTAAAAATATACAGCTGTGTGCCAAGGGGCTTTGGGGAGAAAAAGGGAAAAAAAATAAAATCTTTAAAAAGTTAGCAACTAATTGAACATTTTAAAACATGCTTTGTCAGCCAGGTAAAACATCTCGGCAGGCCACTTTCAGCCTATGGACCGGGAGTTTGCGGCTTCTCAGATAGGGAAATGATTTTCAATTTTTTTCCTGTTTTTTTCCCCCATTGATTACCCTCTTAACAAAATAAATCTTAGGCATAAGTCAATGATGTCAATACCGATGAAAAGCTGAGTTCTTGCTGGTGGAAGATGCCCCCCCCCCTCCCCGCCCCAGCTCCCTTCCATCCCTCCGTTCTTGGTCAGCTTCTGAGGAACCTTGAACTCCTTCTAAGACATTGTGAAAGCCCCAAGTGTCTTGGTTTTACAGAAGGGCAAGCTTGGACCTGAGAGAAGTGATTTTCCTAAGGTTGTGAGGAGAACTGCGTTGTAGCTGGAAGCAGGGTTCTGGCGTCACTTTATCACAGGGATGCACTTTCCTCCCAGCCCAAGTCTCAATGCTTATACCTGTGAAATGGCTGATAATACTACCTGCTTCTTTGTTTAGGATTTTCAGCTTGAGGACAAAGGGTCATCTTTTCTCTGGTTTTACTGCAGAAATTGTCCAAAAACAGTATGGGAAGCAAAAACGAAAACTCCCTTTTGATGAAACTGGAAGTCGGCTAAACCCCAAATCACAGAGTAGGTGGCTGGACAGACAAGGCAGTGGAGAAGGAACAGGATGTGTACAGGAAGAGAGGACAAACACCCTGGCTACAGATTTCTGGAAAGATCATCTCCGGATGCTGAGGGGCAAGCCCCAATCCCTTGCTTAGAGCAGACAGAACGGGGTGTACTGACAGGATGCTGCGCTGCGCTGGTTCCTAGAAACAAAGGAGAAGGGGCTTAATGAGAAGTAGCCCAGAGGAGCTTCGTAAGACAAATACAAATTAGAACTATCTTGAGATTCCTTTTTTTTTTCTTACCCAACCTGAGATCCAGAAGTTTAGAAACACCCTGCCTGCGAGGGGGTATAAGGCGAGGTACTCTCCTTCCTAGTGGCAGCTTAAATGGCTACAATCCCTTTGGAGGGCAATTTAGCTGTCAGAGTATCTATCAAAAGTGCAAAAGCACATACCCTTGACCCATAAATTCTCCTTCTAGGAATTTATCTTACAGATTCATTGCACAGCTGTGAGATGGCCCCCTGTAAGAGGCAATTCATTGCAACTTTGTAAAAGCAGAAGATTGGAAACAACCTAACTGCTTCTTTAGGCTTGTTCTCCAACCATCAAAGCAAATAGGGAACCAGAGCAATGGTGAAGTGAAATAAGCAAAGTCCTCAACCAAGTAGTTAGTATGTTACCATTTGTGTAAAAAGGGGGCTAGAAAACAAATACATGTTCACTTATTTGCCTGATACCTCTGCCGGAGCTCTTGAAGGCCTCCGGTGAAGATGACAACATGGCCATTCCCAGAGAGGGCACTGGGTGGTGAGAAAGGAGAGGACAGAGATACAAGCGAGATGTTTCACTCTTAACCCTGTTGTACATTTTGAATTTTGAAACTTATGAATATACTACATTCAAAAACAACCATCACCACCAAAGGTGACCTGAGCTCCAGTACACAGAATCCCTTAGATCACCTAAGCAGAGCACCCACTTGGTACATGTCACCTTAAATCCAAACATGCAAGACCCCACCTTTCCTTTCCTCTCCAGCTTCCAAAATTTTAACTTCCTGGATTCCCAGAGGTGTTACCAGGCAACTATGCAACTCTGCTCTGTTCCAGAACGGGCTGCAAGCAAAATGGGGCAAGGCAAATTGCCTCCCTCCACCCCACCCAAAGGTTGACAGGTTCACGATGTTCCCTAACCCTGAGGCCAGGCTCCCTCTGGGAACCAGAAGTTTCCAAAACATCCAAAACACCGTATTGTTTAGTTATCTGTGTGCACAGCAGGGTAGCTATAAATAGCTACCATTTATTGAGCATTAGCTGTATGAAAGGCGTTCATTACACCTTATCTTTTCGATCCTTCCTATCAACCTTTCCAGGATAGTAGTGTGTCCTTATTTTACAGATGGGAGAATCAAACCAAATGAAGAATCGACGTTCAAAGAGTCTTGCTCCAAAATCAAAGTGATAGAAGTAGAAGAGTGAGAATTTGAACCTGTGTCTTTCTGACTCCTCTGCACCACTTTTGGCCCTGATGTGATGCAAATGGGTGGCTACCCAGAGCCTGATTGTCAGGTGAGCCCAGAACACACCAAAGCTTGTCTCTGAGACAGGCAGAACCCCAAGAGACCATCTCTGGCCATCTCCTCGTGGATTTCCCTTCACACTTCTCAGCACAGAGGAGGCACTAGGATTAAGACAACCTTCTGTCTTTTTGTTTGTTTTTAGTTTTTCTGAGGAAGGTTCACCCTAAGCTAACATCCCTTGCCAATCTTCCTTCCTTTTTTTGCTTGAGGAAGATTGTTGCTGAGCTAACATCTGTACCAATCTTCCTCTACTTTGCATGTGGGATGCCTCCACAGCATGGCTGATGAGGGGAGTAGGTCCGCACCCGGGATCCAAAACTGTGAACCCCCAGCTGCTGAAGTGGAGTGTGCACAACTTCAACCACTCGGCCATGGGGCCGGCCCCAACCTTCTGTCTTAATTGAGTGCCAGAACCTGAAGGTCACTCGATTCCTCTTTCATTGTCCCCACCTGTGCGCTAGCTCCTTAGGACTTATTAAAAAGTTATAATAGCATTTTTATTAAAATTTAGAAAATTAAAATAAGGCAAAAAAAGAGATTATACACATATCCTACCATCAAGATATAGCAACTACTAATATAACCTACCTACATAATGTAACCTGTATGTCATATAACATGTATTTGTGTGCACTTAAAACATGGAGATTATAGTATAAAAATGGCGTTTAGTCTACTTTTTCCCATTAACGATTTTTTAAAACATCTTTTCATACTGTTTTATATTGGCCCGTGACAACATTTTTCATTGTTGCATTGTTTTCTGTTGGGTAAATGTGCTATAATTTATTTAACTAAACCTCAACAATGGAAATTTAAGGTGTTCCTACCATTTCATCATTATAAGCAATGTTGTGATGAATATCCTAGCAACTAACTGTGGCACACAGACATGACTATTTCCTTAGAATACATTCCTAGAACTAGAATTGTTGAGTGAGAAAGTAAGTAAAATCAAAAGGGTTTTTAATGTGTTGCTCAATTGTCCAGTTGCTTTCCTGTAGGGTTTGTGTATATTTCACAAAGCCTTGCCTCACTCTTTAAAGTTCCTATGTGTTAGGTGGAAAATTTTATCTCAGAGTTGGTATTACTAGTGAGACAGAACAATTTTTCATATGTTTCTTGACTGATGGGATTTCTTCTATTGTAAATTGCTCATTCATGTCAATTTGCCCAATTTCCTATTGGCATGTTTCTCTTTTCCTTGTTAATTTATAATTGTATCTTACATATTAAGCATGTAAGTTGCCTCTCTTATATATTGCAAAATATTTTTCCCTAGATTGTTATTTGCTTCTCATTATATTTTTAGTGATTTTGGGGGAAAGTCACTAAAGTATATTTTTATGTAATCAAGGCTCCTGGTTTTTTTTAATTGAGGCAACATTGGTTTATAACATTATATAAATTTCAGGTATACGTCATTATATTTTGACTTCTGTGTGGCCTGCATCGTGCTCACCACCCAAAGTCTAGTTGCTATCTGTCACTATTCAAAGGATCCCCTTTACCCTTTCTGCTTTCCCTCCACCCCTTTCCCCCCGGTAACCACCAATCTATTCTCTGTATCTATGTCTCAGTCTTTTCTTTTTTGTTCAATGCTTTCTGCCATTGGTGATGCTTAGATAGAAATCCTCCATCCCAAGATGATGTAAATAATCACCTGTTTTTCATTCTTGTATTGTTATATCTTCCCTTTTTTTTGTTAATTTTTATTTATTTATTTGAGGAAGATTAGCCCTGAGCTAACATCTGCCGCCAATCCTCCTCTTTTTTTGCTGAGGAAAGCTAGCCCTGAACTAATATCGGTGCCCATCTTCCTCTACTTTATATGCGGGATGCCTGCCAAAGCATAGCTTGCCAAGTGGTGCCATGTCGGTTGGGATCTAAACTGGTGGACCCCGGGCCGCTGAAGTGGGACATATGTACTTAACCACTGCACCACCAGGCCAGCCCTGTTATATCTTCCTTTTTAACATTACAAGTTATGACCCATCTGAATTCATTCTGGAGTATGATATGAGGCAGGAATATAATTAGACCTTTTTCCAAATGATTGGTCAGTTGATCCAACATATTATTTTTTTATTCAATACATATTGATTAAGTCTTTTTGTGAGGAAGTTCCAGTTAAAAGGGATGGTGAATCTAAGGATAGATGGAACACGAGCCATCTCTCACTGAATAACTTTGAGATTCATCAGGTTTAACTTTACCCAGATAACTGTTTACATATCACATTTTTAAACAGAACTGGTGTGGCAATTCCTAACGTTGACAGACGTATTGGAATTGACTGGAAGAAAATCTGCTTATATAGAACCATATTCATTCATTTAATCAGTTAATATTTATTGAGTTTCTAAGACATGATAGGCAGCAAGATTATGAGAAGTCTTTGAACAAAATACAGGTAATATGGTAAGGCCTTCCTAATGAGCCGGCATTTGGGCAGAGACCTCAAGGAAGTGAGGAGCAGGCATTGTGACTATCAGAGGAAGAACATTCTAGAAACAGAAATGAGAAGGGCTAAGCCCTAAGTCAGGAGTATTTTCCAGGAGAAGCAAGAAGGTCGGGTCATCAGAATGGGTTAAATGATGGGAGATGAACTCAGAGAATGTCAGGCTCCAGTCTTGTAGGACCTGTGGGCTATGATAGGGTGTAGATTTTTCTACACTGGGCATACAAAATTCAGCCAGCTGGTGATGTAGTGGTGAAGTTCACATGCTCTGCTTTGGCGGCCTGGGGTTCACGGGTTCAAATCCCGGGTGCACTACACACCACTCATCAAGCCATGCTGTGGCAGCGTCCCACATACAAAATAGAGGGAGATTGGCACAGATGTTAGCTCAGGGCCAAACTTCCTCACCAAAAAAATCACACAAAACAAAACAAAAAAAATTCAAAGCTGATTAAGACATGCATGTGTCTTGAATGAGATCATAGTTCAGATCAAAAACTAATAAATATGAATAAAACTCTATAGGCCTAGGGAAAATGCAACAAATAAATCTACTGGCAGAAATCAGAGAAGGTGAAGTTTAAGCTGGGTCTGTAAGAATAAATGATTGGTGTGGGATTTCTTTTAGGGGTAATGAAAATGTTCTGTAATTGATTATGACGGTGGTTGCACAATTCTGTGAATATACTAAAAATTATTGAATTGCACACTTTAAGTGGCTGAATTGCATAGTATATGAAGTATATCTCAATAAGGTTGTTAGAGTTAAAAAAAAAAAAGAAAAAGAACAAAGCGGGGCTGGCCCCATGACTGAGTGGGTAAGTTCACCCACTCTGCTTTAGCGGCCCAGGGTTTTGCCAGTTCGGATCCTGGGTGCAGACATGGCACCGGTCATCAAGCCATGCTGAGGTGGCATCCCACATGCCACAACTAGGAAGACCCACAGCTAAAAATACACAACTATGTACCAGGAGGCTTTGAGGAGAAAAAAAGAAAGATAAAAATCTTTAAAAAAAAAAAAAAAAAGAATGAGTTGGAGTTCCAAGTAGAATGGATGTAGATTTTGTTTCTTTCTTTTGAGGAAGATTAGCCCTGACCTAACATCTGCCACCAATCCTCCTCTTTTTTGCTGAGGAAGACTGGCCCTGAGCTGATATCCATGCCCATCTTCCTCTATTTTATACATGGGACACCTGCCACAGCATGGTTTCCCATGCGGTGCATAAATCTGCACCTGGGATCCAAACCGGTGAACCCTGTGCCCCCAAAGTGGAATGTGTGAACTTAACCACTGCACCACCCAGCCAGCCCCTGGATGTCCGTTTTAGATAGAGGGGAGTTTTGTTTGAGGGGCGTATTTGCAAGGAACTTTCTCTTTAAATCATGAGAATTCCCTTGTTCTGAGACTTTGAAAATTGCAAGGAATTGACAGCTCAGCCTTTTGTGGGATGGATATACGTTGCCAGGTGCTGGGCTGGGCCTTCATGTTGCAAAAATGAAAATGATGTAACCCCATCCTTCAAATCTCATAGACCAGTGGAGTGCATGTGCTCACAGGGATATGGGTCCAATTCCAGTTATCAAACAATTGAAGTATTCCGTTCTACTCTGAAAGGTCACCTTTGATACGCATTAAAAAATATACTTATGCCTGTTTCTGGACTTGCTATTCAGTTGAATTGATATCTATGATTATTTCAGTCAACTCTGCATTCTTTATATTATTTTACTTGAACTATTTCTTCCTCTTTTTTAAAAAATTAAAAAATTTTTTTCCTTTTTCTCTTCAAATCTCCCCGGTACATAGTTGTGTATTTTTAGTTGTGGGTCCTTCTAGTTGTGGCATGTGGGATGCTGCCTCAGCATGGCTTGATGAGCAGTGCCATGTCTGTGCCCAGGATTCGAACCGGCGAAACCCTGGGCCGCCAAAGCGGAGCGTGTGAACTTGACCACTTGGCCATGAGGCCAGCCCCTTCCTCTTTTTTTTTTTAACAGCTTCATTTAGATATAACTTACATGCCATATATTTCACCCATTTTAAGTGTACAATTCAGTGATTGTTAGTACACTTACAAAGCTGTACAACCATCACCACAATCTGATTTTAGAACATTTTCATCCCATCCCTACTCCCGGCCCCAGGCAACCATGAATCTACTTTCTCTTTCCATGAATTTGCCCCTTCTGGACATTTCATATAAATGGAATCATACATGTCATTTTTTATGTCTGGCTTTACTTTATCTATTTCTTTTTCTTTTTCTTTTTGAGGAAGATTAGCCCTGAGCTGATATCTGCTGCCAATCTTCCTCTTTTTGCTGAGGAAGACTGGCCCTGAGCTCACATCCGTGCCCATCTTCCTCTACTTTATGTGTGGGATGCCTGCTACAGCATGGCTTGCCAAGCGGTTCCATGTCCGCATCTGGGATCCGACTTGGCGAACCCCGAGCCACCGAAGTGGAATGTGCGCATTTAACTGCTGCACCACTGGGCCGGCCCCTACTTTATCTATTTCTTAATATGTGGTGGTGCCTGGCTTCCTTCAGTATTGTTCAATTTTTAGGAAATTGTATTTCCTAAATGGGTTTCTTCTTCCAAATGAACTGGAACAAGTCATGTTCAACAACCCAATTTATAGACCATTATATAGATCAAAAGGCATCATTCCACCAGGTCCCAACTTAATAATTTATTTTGTCTCTGAATAAATCTTGACTACAAATATCAAATCCAGGGGCCGGCCCCATGGCCGAGTGGTTAAGTTTGCACTCCACTTCAGCGGCACAGGCTTTTGCCAGGTCAGATCCTGGGGGCAGACACGGCACCGCTCATCAGGCCACGCTGAGGCAGCATCCCACATGCCACAACTAGAAGGACCCACAACTGAAAATACGCAACTATGTACCGGGGGGCTTTGGGGAGAAAAAGGAAAAAAAAAATCTTAAAAAATAAAATCAAATCCAGGGGCCAGCCCGGTTGCACAGTGGTTAGGTTTGCAAATTCTGCTTCAGTGGCCCAGGGTTTGCCTGTTGGATCCCGGGTGCAGACCTACGCACTGCTTATCAAGCCATGCTGTGGCAGGCGTCCCACATCTAAAGTAGAGGAAGATGGGCACGGATGTGAGCTCAGGGCCAGTCTTCCTCAGCAAAAAGAGGAGGGCTGGCGGTGATGTTAGCTCAGGGCTAATCGTCCTCAAAAAAAAAAAAAAAATCAAATCCATCTTCAAGGAACAGAGGATATTTTTCTTTTTAAGAGCTATCACACTACAAAGGTAGTTCCGGAAGTTGGTATCACACTGAGTTGTAGGCCCAGAATAAACACATTGTAACCTGACAAAGTAACTGATTGAAGGACACTCCATGTGTGAGTTCTAGTTTGCTTCCTAAAAACAAAACAAATGGATGTGCTCAGCTGGATGGCAAATCATCCTTCCTTTCGGAACCTCAGTTGCTCGTTTGTAATCTGTATAATGGGCACTGTAACAGCTAGGCCTTGGAATCATGAATGTCCACTCGCTTTACCTCCGCTCCATCTGTAGGGTCACACCAGCCCCCAAACAAAGAGCATGTGCAGAATGGTCACCTTAATTATGGCTGCTGTTAATTAAGCTCTTTCAGGTGCCAGATGCGCTTATCTTCACCATGACCAGGTGTGGCAATTATTGTTACCCTCCCATTTTATGTGTATTCATTCCAGGTGGACACACGTTTATTCACGACCTACGGTGGGTGAGCACTGGCCTGGCAGGGGCAAACTTGAGGCCGAGGTGACAACAGTCTCAGCACATGGTGGAGTGGGAAGACACACGTGGCAAAGCAGGAAACAAACAGTGAAGGTGTAAGGCACGTCGAGAAGGGGCCAGGAAGGCAGCCCACAGGGCTTGCAATGGAGAATAACAAGGAAGGTCTCTTTCTATCAAGTCTTCAGGGAGGGTCAGTCTAAGAAGAAAATCTTTGATCTCAGACTTAAAAAAAAAAAAAAAAAATCAATGCCTCTCAGAGCTGGGAGACAAGTGGTCCAGGCAAAGGAAACTGAGGCACAGAGAGGGACAGGAAGGGCACAAGGTCACACAGCAACTTCCCAGAAGGGCCAGGATTTGAAACTCTAATGCCAGATGCCAAACTCCCCTCCGTGACATTCTCTCTCTCTTTTTTTTTTTTGCTGAGGATGATTAGTCCTGAGCTAACATCTGTGCCAGTCTTCCTCCACTTTATGTGTGGGACACTACCACAGCCTGGCTGACCAGTGGTGTAGGTCCGTGCTGGGGATCCGAACCCACAAACCTGGGCTGCTGAAGTGGAGCACTCTGAACCTAATCACTACATCACTGGCCTGGGCTCCATCCATGACATTCTCTTTTTTTTTAATTTTTATTTTTTTTCCTTTTTCTCCCCCAAGACCCCCAGTACATAGTTGTATATTTTTAGTTGTGGGTCCTTCTGGTTGTGGCATGTGGGACGCCAACTCAGCATGGCCTGATGAGCGGTGCCATGTACGCGCCCAGGATCCGAACCGGTGAAACCCTGGGCCGCCACAGTGGTGGGCGAACCCAACCACTCGGCAACGGGGCCAGCCCACATCCATGACATTCTTAACAACCAGTCATAATCTGGCCTGGGGGCTCACACTCAGCAGGTCCTAAGGAAAATCACCCTTGCTTGATCCTGGCTGGACGGATGGCTGCTCAAGGCTGGGGCTCAATGTACAGCCATGCTTGTGAGTGTGGGCAGAAGGATTCACCATCCCGGGCCCCAGCTGGGAAAGGGGGCAGAGGTTTTACCCCATCGTCCTTCCCCTTCCTACTCCCCTCTGACAAAGCTGTTTTAATGAATTTATGAAGGCTCTTTTGTCTTCGGTCTACCTTTGAGCTGGAGCCTTTCCGGGTGGGGGTGGGATGGGGCCTGGGCTGGGCGGGGCAGAGGGAAGGCTGAGGGTCAAGAGAGGGCGGGGCAGGCAGGAAATCTTGGGGCCTGGAGGGAGTGAATTCACCTCTCAAATGTTACCTCCTCCAAGAGGCCTCCCTTGTCTTCCCTGGATAAAATAGTTGTTTCAGATGCACCCCTGTCTCTCTCTGTTCCCTTCCTCTGCTTTATTTTCCATCTGACTCATAGTAGTCATTCAATTAATATTTGTTGAATAAAACAGTTATTTGTGCTCTTCCATGGGAGAGGCATGGGGTTGGGCCTCTTATCACCACTTCCTTCCCACCACACTCTCCATCCCCCCAGTGAGCACCTTCCCACCCACCCTAATGACCCTATGCTTCCTCCAAGCCCTTTTCACCTTGTAATTACCTATATGTCCAGTGTCAATTCCAAGAGAGCAGGATGCTTGGTGGTGTCGCCTGCTCCAAGCACAGTGTCTGACACACAGGAGGTACAGGGTAATCATTTGCTGAGCAAGTGAGTGAATGAACGAATGACTGGGAAGGGGTCCCAGGGTTGGGCTAGGAAGCCCATCTATGTGATTCTGAGGCAGTGGCTGCTGCTCACAACTCCACGGGACTTTCCTCTTCCCAGCAGCTTTGACTTCACTGAGACCGCCTTTACTCTCCAAATAGTTCTGGAATTCCTCTTGAATAAGTGGGTCTTAAACTTCAGAGTATGAAAGAATGACCGGGGAGATCCCAGAGCCCACCTTAGAGGTAAGGACTTAGGGGGCTGAGGTGGGCTAAGGGAATCTAGTTGTTCACAATCCAGTCTCCTCCTGGCAGCCAGGCACCTTAAAGTACACATATCTATTGTCACTCCCTTGCTGGAAGACCACCGGTGGCTTCCTGGCGCCCCAGTGATGAAGTCCAAACTCCTTGTCCCTTTAGTACCTTCACGACCCCACCCCTGTCCACCTGCCACATCAGTACACCTTGGAGACTCCTTCGCCGGGCTCTTCCTTCTTCCTGGGAGACTCTCCCCTCCCACTCCCATTTTCCCCTTCAAGTTGTCCTCACCTGGCTGATGTACTATACTTCAGACTTCAGCCTGGAAGCCATGTCCTCCCAGAGGCCCTTCCTTCTCCCCAGCTGCACAAGGGCCCTCTGCTGGCCACACAGCCCTGGCCACCACCCAGAGCGTGCTCACAGGGTGTGTATTGTAACTGCCTCTCTTAGGCAGCTGTAAGCTTGTTGAGGGCAGAAACCATCTCAGACCCCAGAACCTAGCACCGTCCCTGGCACATAATTGGTGGCAACTTGGGGGAAGACAGCACTTTGGATGGCCAATCGTGTGTGTGTGTGGGGGGGGTGTGTGTGTGCACGCATGCTTACACGTGTGTGCCGAGAACCTACCCCGTGCCTGGTGTTACTCAGGACTAATCTTTCCCATCTTTTAAGGCGAAGCTCCCTTCGTGTGGTCCCCCTGATGCCTACAGCTTGATGGTAATCACACCGTTCCTAATTAAGAAGTACCAAGTACTGATAACCTACTAGGCGCTGCTTTGTGTGCTTGCTCTCCAAGTGTTAATCCATTCAGTCCTAGTTCAACCCGGTGAGAGAGGCCCTGGTATCCCAATCTGACAAACAAGAAAACTGAGACACAGAATGATTTAAAGAAAGGAGCACGGGCTTTTCAATCAGGCAGTTCTGGGTTTTAATCCAGCATCCACCTCCCCAGCTATGCATGACGTTGGGCAAGTTGAAAAGGTCTCTGAGCCTTTGGTCTTTCCCACCTCTGTGAAACGTGGGTCATAATAATACCTGACCTAGCAGGACGTGAGAATTCATGCAAGGTGCTTAGCACATGGTGAGAACTCCATACACTCAGAGGTATATTTATAATATGTTAATGAGTTGTTTCATCCTTGGCACATGGTATAGACATCCAGAAATTGAGTTGTTTACTAAATACAAGTCACTAATCCAGCTAGGGGCTGGCCTGGTGGCGCGGCGGTTAAGTTTGCACGTTCTGCTTCTTGGCGGCGCGGGGTTTGCCGGTTCGGATCCCGGGTGCAGACATGGCACCGCTTGGCAAGCCATGCTGTGGTAGGCGTTCCACATGTAAAGTAGAGGAAGATGGGCGTGGATGTTAGCTCAGGGCCAGTCTTCCTCAGCAAAAAGAGGAGGATTGTCAGCAGTTAGCTCAGGACTAATCTTCCTCCAAAAAAAAAAAAAAAAAAAAAAAAAAAGAAGTTACTGTTCCTAGAAGAACTGCCACCAGGGTTTAAGGATGGGGATGCTCTCTCTTTTCTTGGGGCGGGGGGGAATGCTCTCTTTTTTGACTGTTTGCAAGAGGCTCCTGGAATGCATTTGAACGTTCTCTGAACACTCGTTTATTAAACTTTCGTGCAGCATGAAGTCGAGGGAGGAAGTAGGAAGCTTCCTGGAAGTGGTCTGATAGGCAGGGTGAGGCCCAGTTGAGATTTAGGAGGGGCTCTGCCCTGCCCGTAAGGCTGGAAACTAGGCAGCAGTCCTTGTTACTTAAGTACAGTTTTGAGGAGTGCTCCAGAGGAAGAAACTCAGTCCCATGAGAGCCAATAACAGGGGCTTGGGATCTGTTCCCCTTAGTGAGTAAGGCTTCCAAGGAGGCCTGAAGGTTAGGAGACAAGGAGGAGCATCCCAGGGGAGGGAGGGTGCGTGGAGGCCAGAGGCCGGGTGGAAGAGTTTGGGTTGCTGTCAGGGTATCAGGGGAATGGGCGAGTGCCTGCTGCTTCAGGATGGGAGAATGAGACCTGGAGAGACACCACAGGGCCCCTTGCTGCCCCACTGTTCCTCCTCTCCCTCCTCTTTCTCCTCCAAGGAGCCCTGCTCTCTTTTTCAGTCTCCTTCTTTCTAGGATATGCGCCTGCTGAAGACTCTCCCCCTGGAAATGTTTCCCCAACTGTCCTGCCTGCCCAGGGTATTTCTCCAGCACAGCTAAGCATTCATCTCTTCATTCATTGACTCCTTTCTTTTCACAAATAAGCCACATAAAACTTGAATGCTACATGGGGCCGGCCAGTGGCACAGCAGTTAAGTGCACATGTTCCGCTTTGGCAGCCCAGGGTTGGCCTGTTCGGATCCTGGGTGCGAACATGGCACTGCTGGTCAAGCCATGCTGTGGCAGGCATCCCACGTATAGAGTAGAGGAAGATGGGCACAGATGTTAGCTCAGGGCCAGTCTTCCTCAGCAAAAAGAGGAGGATTGGCGGCAGATGTTAGCTCAGGGCTAATCTTCCTTGGGAAAAAAAAAAAAAACCTTGAATGCTACAAAGAGAGAAAAATAAAACTTCAATTACCCAGAGGCAACTGCTATCAATATTTGGATCTATACTCCTAGGTTTTGTTAGAAATGCGTATTGTTATAAAAACAGGACACACTGTATGAAAATTGCATTTATGGGACTGGCCCCATGGCCGAGTGGTTAGGTTGGCGCACTCCACTGCAGGCGGCTCAGTGTTTCGTTGGTTCAAATCCTGGGTGTGGACATGGCACTGCTCATCAAACCACGCTGAGGTGGTGTCCCACATGCCACAACTAGAAGGACCCACAACGAAGAAATATACAACTATGTACTGGGGGGCTTTGGGGAGGAAAAGGGAAAAAAAATAAATAAAAAAAAAGAAAATTGCATGTAATAAAAACTTTAATATGCTGCAAACATTTTGCCACATTTAAACAGCTACATAACAGCACTGTTAATGGCCACCTGAGATTCTATACCATGTGTCAGAAATAGTCAACCAAAGGCCTACTGTCCATTCTTTCTCAAATATTTAGTGAACACCTGTTGTGTGCCACGACTTTGATTGAAATTGAGGCTGATGGCAGGACTTACTATCATAGTAATACGATTGTAAATGATGTACCACTCAGTATCCTTGGGGCTGAACGTCTGTGCGAATCTGTAATTATTGACTCAGAAAAAATTCTGAGGAACACATCTACATTAAAGAGGAGGCATACTTTAAGGTCAAATTACCCTCCCATTAGGTTTTACCAATTTACACTCAAACCCACTTCCTGTGGTTAGCCTCCTAATAAAGCCCATTACTTTCTCGACTTCCTCCTTTGGTTCTTAAACCTTCTGCAGGCTGGCTTTTGTCCCTAGTACTCCACTGAAATTATTCTCACTAAGGTCATCAGATATCATCCAGAATGCCAATTTCAGTGATTGCTCCGTTTTCTTATTTTTTTTAAATTTATTTTTATTTTTATTTTTTTTGAGGAAGATTGCCAGTCCTTCTCTTTTTGCTGAGGAAGCCTGACCCTGAGCTAACATCGTGCCCATCTTCCTCTACTTTGTATGTGGGACGCCTACCACAGCATGGTGTGCCAAGCAGTGCCATGTCTGCACCTGGGATCTGAACCGACGAATCCCGGGCCGCCGAGAAGCGGTACATGTGAACTTAACCGCTGTGCCACCGGGCCGGCCCCTGATCCGTTTTCTGGCCCTATCTTCATTGTCCTGTTTGGGGCATTTAATACCTTGGACCACCCTTCTCTTCCTGAAATATTCTCTTTTCTTGGTCAGGTAAAGCCAGTCTAGTCTTCCTAGCCTCATTTTACAGCCAGGAAAACGAGGTCCAGACAGGTACCAAGTCTATTAAAGAGGATGGCACACTGTTGAGGCTTCAGATCCAGGCATCCCTACTCCCACAACCTTGAGCTTCATTTTGAGTGTGAGTTTTGGAATCCTTGGTGATGTCTGCAGAATCTTCTAGTGTTTTGCTTTGTGTTTTTTTGCTGAGGAAGATTAGCCCTGAGCTAACATCTGTGCCAATGTTTTTGTACTTTTATATGTGGGTCGCTGCCACAGCGTGGCTGATAAGTGTAGGTCTGTGCCTGGGAACCGAAGCCACCAACCAGGGCAAACGGGAACACTCGGAACTTAACCACTGCGCCATGGGGCCTGCCCTTCTTGTAGTGTTAAGAGGGCCTCACATGGGAAATTTGGCTGGTTTTACTCTTTCTTGGAAGAAATTTCTATTGCATTTCTTTTTTTTCAGCATTGCTAATGTAATGGGTCCTCACGGCCTTGCCTGGAACAGGGTCCTAAGGAGGACTCAGTCGTGCGGTGGAGCCCCTAATTGGGTGGCTTTCCACCCCTGAGAGTTGGGGGATAGGAGGAAAGCGGCCCAGAAGACATTGCCGAGGATTCCTGCCATGAGACTCAGAACCGGGCTTTGGGGCCAAACAGCCGCCTGCCGGGTCTGGGACAAACGTGCTGAGGGCTTTGCTGGGTGACCTGGGACCATCAGCACCCTAGTGCGACATATAACAGTCGCTTCTGTATAGAGCTGTTTGGAGGACTTAATAAGATCAACATACGTAAAGCTCTGGGCTCCGCCTGACACACGGTAGACACTCAAGAACTGGTAGTTACTCGGTTCTTTAATTTCGATTTCAATTCGACCTCATTTGGGCCTTCCAACTATTCAACCATGCTCTGGATCCGCATATGGAGATTTTAGGTCACCATTCTATTGAGGCAGAACCCGAGGATCAGAGGGCGAGCGCTTGGCCTCGAGGTGGCCGCCAACCGGACCCGCGCGGCCCTCGGCCCTGCCAGGAGCACCAGGCTGCCCGGCCGGCTCGGCGCTCCCAGGCCCCACGACTCGCCCGGCCGCCGCTGCCGCAGCCTCGCGCACTAGCCTCTGCACCTGGCCGCTCAGCGCCATCTTTGATCCTGGCACGAGGCCTCACTTCCGTACTTCCCTCCCCCCGCAGGAACAGCCGCGCACGCCCCAGGCGTGGACTTTCTGGGGATGGGGTATCCCAAACCCGTCATGCCTTGTCGCACTGGCCGAAAAGAAGAGTTTCTCTCTTTTTCTCGGATCTTGAAGTCGGCTCTCTGACCAATTCAAAAATGGCGCCCATAGCCTCACCTCCCCAGCATGCTGAGGGAGGCGCAGGGGCAAAGGTCGCGTTGCAGTGCGCCAGCGCGGGGGGCGGGGCGCGGAGCCGTCCCCATGGCAACCCGCGTGCGGCCCTGGCGTCTCGGCCCGGCGGGAAGCGCGGGTGCTGAGAAGCTGGCGACAGGCGGGGCTGCGAGCGCAGAGGGCCCCGGGCGGCCGGGGCCGCTGCAGGACGAGACCCTGGGCGTGGCGTCCGTGCCGTCGCGGTGGAGGGACGCCCAGGGCTTCCGCGGGGAGACGGTGAGGGTGCGGGCCCGGCGCGGGCGCGGGCGCGGGCGGCGGCCCCGCGCGGCTGCCGGGCCAGGTGCCGCCGTCCCGCCGTTATATTTTTATATTTTAGTCCCCAGAAACCGACCCGTGGGGTATCTCGTCCCAGATTCCCCAGTCTTTGAACAGCAACAAAAGGGGTTTTTCTTTAAAACCTCTAAAGATCTCACGTCTTGAAGGATTTTCTGCAGTTTTGGGGCATTTTAAACTAACTTGCGTTTTAAAAATGACCAAACTGCATCTTAAGGTCGTGAAACGCCGGCTTTCGAGTAGTTTAATCAAAAGCACGCAGAACGAGGTTCTTGGGTCGGGGGGAGGCAGGGCTGGCGGGTGTCAGGTCTCCTGGGGGTCTGCGTGCAGACTCAGCGCCTGCTGTGCGCAGGGAGCTGCTGGCGCTGGGGATTCCTCGGGAACGAGCTTCCTCCTGGAGCTTCCGCGGGCCGGTGTTTGCAGGGACCGAAGGTGCACAACGGATGCAATAAGTAGGGTCTGTGGCGTGTTAGGAAGTGAATCGTGCCATGGACAAACGAAAACGCAGGGTGAGGGCTTAGAAGGACTAGGGTGGGGAGTAAGCGGGTGGGTTGCAGGGTGGGCTTCATTGAAAGGGTGACATTTGAGCAAACCCTTGGAGGAGTGGGAGAGTTAGCCAAGTGGATACTTGAGGCGGAACCGTCCAGGCAGAGCAAATGGCAAATGCAAAGGCCGTGGGGTTGAAGTAAATCGGGTGTGTTTGAGGAGGAAGGTGGGGCTGGAGAGGAATGAGGGAAGGGAGAGTGGTCCTTGGTGAGGTTGGAGAGGGTAAGCAGAGACAGGTCAAGTAGGGCCTGTTGTAAGGATATTGGTTTTTCCTCCGTGAAAATGAGGAGCATTGCAGGGGCGCCCCGCATTTCCCAGAAGAGAAAACTGAGGCTTAGCCTGCCACCTGCAGACCCCAGGTCGTCACCAACACCAGTGAGGTTTCCCTGAAGTCTCACCCTGGGGACAGTTTTCCTGCCTCGGTCAACTGTCTGCAGGTCTCAAGCCAGCATTTGCTCTGGCTTCACAGCACTTCCCACTAAATTGTGCTGCCCAGGAATGTTCTAGTTAAAAGCAGACAGTGGATATTTTAGTTATGTCTGTCCATCCTTAGCACAGGTTAATGTATAATTCACATTCACTGGCCTTTAGAAAAGTACTTGAAATAGCTCTTGCTGGCTGGAGATTCAGATTTTAGAAGACCAGGCTGGGAACCACTGATTCAATCGAACTCTCTTTCTGCCCCCAGAGAAGGAGATTGAAGCCTGTTGATTTTCTTGTAGCTAAGGTTTTAACCTGTCGGGTTCTGAGAACTGACTCTGATAGCCCAGGTGTGCACGCCTTCCTCTCTGAGGTTGGTTCATTTGCCTCAGCCTCTCCTGTCTTGCCACAGATTCTTTATTAAGTTGTAAGAATGTTGCAAGAGGCGGAAGAAAGTGGTAAGTTGCTTTTTCCAAGTTAACTTTCTTCTCTTTATAAAAGTTATCTGTGTCCAAAATTTAGAAAAAATCTGGATAAGCAAAAAGAGTGGAAACAAAAATCACCCCACAATCTCATTCCCCGGCCATTTGGTTTGTACCTGACCCATCGCTGCTTTGTCTGTTTTCCCCCACGTTTTTCTTTTTTACAAAAATGGAATCACACTGTACCTAACATTTTGTCGACCCATTTTTTTCGCTTAATACACTCTGAACATCTTTCTGTGTTTAAAAAATTTGTTTATAACTTCGTTTTATTTAACCAGTCCCTCTTTTTTTGGGAAGATTAGCCCTGAGCTAGCATCTGCCGCCAATCCTCCTCTTTTTGCTGAGGAAGACTGGCCCTAAGCTAACATCCATGCCCATCTTCCTCTACTGTATATGTGGGACGCCTACCACAGCATGGCGTGCCAAGTCGTGCCATGTCTGCACCTGGGATCCGAACCAGTGAACCCCAGGCCGCCGAAGCGGAATGTGCGCACTTGACTGCCGCGCCACTAGGCTGGCCCCTAACCAGTCCCTTTTGATGGGCTGTTAGGCTATTTCCCATTTTTCTCTTATCAATAAACGCTGTGAGTGTTTCAGCTAAATTTTTATACAGTTTCCTAATTTTTTGTAAGTTCCTTTGGAGACGGCGAACATTGGCCATGTTGCCGTGCAATACCGGAGTGTACTTGCATGTTCCAGTACTGGATTTGTTTTTGGTATTAGCGGTCTTTGCCTGACTTGACTTTTTTTGTCGTCTTCTGATCTGTTCAGAGGGACAGGGCCCTGGCCTTTGGTTTGAGTGCACAGACTCTTTTGGTGCTCGGCTTTGGGCCAGTTCCGTGGTCTCTTCTGCCAAGTGGGTCTTGTTAGAATACTTCCTGTGGGGTTAAATGAGATGCTGACGGGGCAGCAGGTTGAAAGCGCAGTGCCTTGGGGTGGAGGGGGTTCTGAGTCCAGCGGCCCGTCCAGCTCTGAGATAGGCGCCTCCTGAGCATGCTGACCCGGCTCGTCCACTGTCGCTCAACCTTGCCTGACCCTGGAATGCCTGGAGAGCCTTGAAAAAGACAGATGTCTGCGTCCCACCTCCAGCGATTCTGGCTAACTTGGGATGTGGCGTGACTGGGGAATCTGGTATTGTACAAGCTCCCAGGTCATTGCAACGCACAGCAAAACTTGAGAGCTGCTGGTTGATCCGTCCTCCTTTGTGGCGGTTGCCTTTCTGGAGCCCCTTCTGATCCCATCAGAACATCTGGTGTTTTTTCCCTTGTTTGTGGTAAGAGACGTGTGATATAAAAGTTACCACATTGAAGTGTACGATTCAGGGCTATCCACTCCATTCACAGTGTGCAGTCGTCACCACTGTCTAGTTCTAGAGCTTTCTCATCAGTGGCTGCATCTTGGGCGTTCAGGTCTGTCTCCTTTGGGCTGTGCGCTCCCAGAGGGCAGGGAGAGGGTCTCGTGTCCTTTTGCATCTCCCGAAGGCAAATGATTTTCTCACGTCCTGTGGTCCTCGGCAGGCTTGCTGCCTTCTCCCCTCCTGCCTGGAGTTAGGCTCTGCAGCCTCCCTGCCAGCCCGCCCTCACCTTGGCGGGCTCCACACTCATGGCACCCCATGCTGGAGGGCGTTTCCTTTTAACCTGGGGTCTAGCCTCCTACAGATTTTCAAGATTTAAGTCCATGGTTCTCAGCCTTTTGGAGATTGCTGGACAGTTTTTTTTTTTAAAGATTTTATTTTTTTTCTCCCCAAAGCCCCCCGGTACATAGTTGTATATTCTTCGCTGTGGGTCCTTCTAGTTGTGGCATGTGGGATGCTGCCTCAGCGTGGTTTGATGAGCAGTGCCATGTCTGCGCCCAGAATTTGAACCAATGAAACACTGGGCCGCCTGCAGCGGAGCAGGAGAACTGAACCACTCGGCCACGGGGCCAGCCCCTGCCGGACAGTTTTGATACTAGATTTTTCCCCCAAGTACACCTGAAGGGATTAAAGGAGGCAGACAACCCAGAATGGCCTGCAGTGACTGCGACTTGAGGCCAGTGTGGCAGGACAGCATCTCCAGCTCTGGGAGGACGTGGTCATCGCCCTCTTCACGTGGCTGACTGGCAGCTCCAGGGCCTCCTTTGAGGGCTCTTTGCTGCCCTGATGGACTGAGAGGTGAGTTCAAGTCAGCAGAAGAGGGCCCCTGACGTCGGGTTGGGGCTCGCTTACTCCACACTCGCTTACTCCACACTCGGAGGTCTCGCCAGGCAGTTGTCCGTATTGCATCACAAAACCCGCTCAGCTCCACTTTATGCCCAGGATATTCCTGCTACACCTCCTGCTTCTGCTCATTAGCATCAGAATGTCCTTCAGCCCTGGATCAAATTTCGGGCCTACTCCGGAGGAGTTTGCAGTGTTCCAGAAAGAGCCCTGAGTTAGCCAGGAGTTGGCCCAGCTGCCATCTGGGTGTGTGCCGGACTCTGCTGGGGAAGGCGATGGGAGGGAGGGCTCTGGGGACCAGAGGAAAAGGGGAATTCTGGGAAGGGGTGCAGAGGTGGACCTGAGTGCAGGTTTGCTGAGGTTGCAGTGACAAGCTGCTCCAACGGGCCAGGCAGTGTCCCTTTGTGGGCTCTCCGTTGGCAGTATGCCTCAGCCTCTGCGGAGGAGCCCTGTCCTACCCCACCCCTTCCCAGGTGGCACCCGGCCTGGAGTGGAGGAAAGGGGCCGAGTGAGCACCACCTGCTCCGTGAGGGGAGCTGAGAGATGCTGGGCCCTGGAGGTGGCCAGAGGAAGCATACAAGTGAGGGGCAAGGCCGCATCTGGAGTCTGGGCCCCTCCCCGCCTGCAGCATCAGCGTCACCTGGGGGTTTGGTGGCTAAGCAAATTCTCAGGCCCCGCCCCGGACCTACGGGACTGAAACTCATTGTGGGGGGAGGGGGTGGGGAGGCAGCAGTTTGTCCTTAGCAGCCTCCAGGTGCTTCTGTTGAGAACGCTGGTCTGGAGTGGCCTCTGGGGTCCCTTTCTGCTCTGGAGTCTGGGGTGCCGGTTGACAGGTAGAGCGAGAAGCTGTGCACCAGCGTTTGCTGGCGGTGCTGCCACCCAGGGGGAAATGGGGCTTGGCCTTCAGCCGCACGTCATCCCGACTGTCACACATTCTCTGTATGGCGCCATGTGTCCTCATCCATAGGACGCGTCCCCCCACCTTAACAGATCTTAAGAAGAGGTGTCTCACGCCCGTACGTGTGCCCAGCATAGTTTCCCCTGAAGAGCCATTGCTAAATAATCTGTGTGTTTTACAATCGATGGTTAAGGCGCTCTAGAATGTATATTGTTAGTGAGAAAGTAACCGTATTCTGCTTACAACCCCTTACTGACACCCCGTGAGCGGGTGTCTCTGGCTGGATGGGTTCTGACCGACTGAATCGCACGTCAGCCCCCCTGACCGTGGCATCATTTCCCCTCTGAGGCTGAAGGCAGGGAAGAGCCCCCGTTCTCTCACAGGGCGCCCCTCCGGGCCACTCTTGCTTGCTGCCTGTGGGCAGGTGGCTGGACAAGAGACCCAACGGGGCTATTTCCTCTGTCATGACAAGTGTTCCTGGAATTGGTCCTGTAGGCCAGCCACCTTTTTTCAGGGGTGAGACATTGTACGGTGGTGGTCTAGGGGTCAGGGAGCCCTCCCAGAGCCCTCCTGGGTATTGGTTTAGGACTCTGATAGCATGCAATGGAAACCAGCCCAAATCAGCTCCTGTCACACACTTCTTTTCCTTTTTCCTTTGGTGAGGAAGATTGGCCCTGAGCTAATGTCTGTGCCAGCCTTCCTCTATTTTATGTGGTACACTGCCACAGCATGGCTTGATGAGTGGTGTGTAGGTCTGTGTCCAGGATCCAAACCACAAACCTCAGGCCACCAAAGTGGAGCACACAAACTTAATCACTACGCCACTGGGCTGGCCCCAGACACTTTTCCTCAAGATGCAGAGGAGTTTCCTGGCTCAGCATGGAGGTGCAGCTGGTCCTGAGGAAGGGGCAGGAACCAGAATCTAGACGGCTTTGGGGGCCCTCCCCCCTCTCCCAGCTCTGCTCTTGCCTCGCAGCCCCTGAGGCCTGTTTCTGCACGACTCCTGTCCCCACGGTGGCGCCGGCTGATTGTTGGCACCCAGGTTCCATGTTTCTGTTCCAGGCACGTGCCATTTATCTCGTTGAGTCTTCATCTCTGTTCTGAACTTCCCCGAGAACCTGGTTGGCCTGGCCAGGGTTAATGTCCCCTCTCGCCGGGTCCGTGGCTGCAGTCCTGGTGTTGGGGCCTAGTCTGTAGCGTGGGTAGGAGGTTTTCTAAGAAACGGCCTTGCGTGGTGGGCAGATTCTCTAGAAGGTGTCTCTTCACCGTTCTGGGCCTCAGTTTCCTTCATCAGCAAGACGCAGGAGTCCTGACATTCTGGGTGTCTGCGGGACCTCACGGGCAGGAGCGCTGGGTGCCACCCTGGGCTCCGCCCTGAGGCCCGCCGCCTCCCATGCTGCTGCAGGCCTGAGGCCCATGGTTTGGGAGTTGTCCTGCCTCCCCCGGCCCCTCCCAGCACGGGCTCAGTGGCCGGCCCAGGCTGCCGAGGCCCGGGAAACCAGGGCCCTGCCCACCCCCAGTCTCCTCTGACTTCTCGGGGGCTTGTGACGGGAGCCTCACCCCTGCTCTGGGCACACGCCACCTGGCATGGAAGTCGCCGCCCTAGGTGGGAGCCGAGGGCAAGCCCTCCCCTTCTGGGGGCATTGGGGCCTCAGCCCCAGACAGGTCAGGGTCAGGCAGATGCGTGTGTCTTGCACCGTGGGCGCCCGCTCAGGTGTCCCGGAGCCGGGAGGAGAGCAGCGGTTTCTTACCGGTTGACAGAAGAGTTGGTGCAGTGGCGTTGGTTTTGAGCTTTCTTCCCCACAGATTGTCCTTAGAGCTTCGGCGTGTCTCATTGGCCTGAATCAGGAATGTGGACAGACACACCCGGAGAGTGGGTGCTCCTGTCTCTGGACAGTGCTCGCGGCCGTGATTTTACGTCAGTTTCTGCATGGAGACGTTCATGTCATCTTCTCTTAGGAACATTGTTTTGAGTTCATCTGATGTGATTAGTGGCCAGGATTTTAGACTGTTTATGACTGAGAGACAATTCAGTGTCCCAGGTCAGACTGCCCGGGTTCAAGCTCCATTGCGATCACCTCTTTGCTGTGTGATCTTGGGTGAATTACTTAACTTTTCTGTGCCTCAGTACCAACATGAGTAATGCACAAATAGGATTTGCTTCATAGGGTGGTTGTGAGGATGAATAAGATACGGGTAAATCTTTAGGGACACTGCTTGAATTGGCACTTAATAGCCAACATTATTACCATCTTTGTGGCTTCCAGGAAGTTTGAGATTCACCCACAGTCTCTTGAAATTTTGTCTCCTCGTGTGCACTTTCCGATCCCCATGCCCATCCATTAATTCCTCAGTGTGCACATTCCCTCGCGTGTGAAGACAGATGAGACCGGGTTCTTGTGCGGGAGGAGCTTGCAGGTTGGTGGGAGGTGGCCGGGCACGGAGACAGCTAATGGAGTGGAAAGGGGAGGTGTGCACAGTGCTGAGGCCTCCAGGTTCCAACAAGTGCTGCCCTATGGGGCCGGCCCCCTTCCTGTGGGCTCGCCAGCACTGACCTGGTGGCTAGCCCCGACCCCCATGCCGGAGCAGGGAGCATGGGCTCTGGGCCTTGTCATGTGCGGGTGTCTGGCTAGTGGCCAGGGGAGAGGGCCTCTCGTAGACAATGGTCTCAGTGATACAGGCCTCAGTTGGCGAAGCTTGGTCGTGTCCATAAGAAAGGGAGGCTATGTCGACTTCCCTGGTCTGATGTCCGTCCCTGTGCCCAGCTGAACAGGGGACAAAGGACTGGGGACAGGGAAGGGTGGAGAGAAGGGGCAGATGGGGAGCAGCTGACCTTTTGCCGACTAGCTCTCGGACGCACATGCCTCCTTTGAGCCGGGTGCATGGAAGGTGCCCACCGCAGGGCTGCCTGGAACACGGCAGGTAGCGAGGAGTCCTGCTCCGGCGGCGTCTGAGGTTCTCTGTGTGCTGGTGGGGACGGCCACTGCTGGCTCTAAGATCGCAGGATTCTTATTGCTGTCAGCATCTTCGAAAAGGCCACTCCTGCGTCCCCTCCAGATGATGTCACCCAAAGTCCTGGGTCAGGCTCTCGTTGGGTCTTGTTGGCCATCGCGTGGCTGCAGGAGAGGCTGAGTGCTCTGACTGGCCAGCTGGAGGTCGTGCGTCCATCTCTGTGGAGCAGGGGAGGGCCGAGGGTCAGCGCCACCAGACCACACAGATTGGGTTCTTCCTGAGAAAGGTGGGCCAGTCAGAGGAGGAGGGGACAGATTTGGGCAGGCGGAGTGAGCAGAGACACGGCAGCCAGCAGGTGAGCGCTGAGCAGAGGAGGGGAGCGCCCTGGGCAGGGGCACGGGAGGACAGCTGGCCGGTGACTGGTTTCCATCTCCTTCTCCAGAAGAGTTGCCAGACGGCCAGCGTTGCCACCGCCGATGCAGCCTCCCAGGCCCGGAAGCGCGCAGACGCCGAGGTGCAGACCGAGGCCCCTGGGCCCGGCGTGCTGCCTGCACCCCGGCACGACAGCGCCCGGCTGGCGGCCTTCCTCCGGAGAGTGGAGGCCACGGTGGTCCGCGAGCTGAACAGGAACTGGCGCAGCCACGCCTTCGACGGCTTCTCGGTGAACTGGACCGAGCCGCAGTGCACGGTAGGGAGTGGGCCGGGTGGGGGAGCCTCCCTCCTCCTGGGGCTCGGCTCAGCCTCCGCCCCGTCGGGAGGCCGTCTTTTGTGCCACGCAAACAATATTACCAACAATAGTAACAGCAGCCCCTGGGCTCTGACTTTTTGCCAGGTGTGGGGCTCAGTGTCACAGGACTGATGAGTTGTTGGGCAGTGTTGCCGCCCTTGGAGTAGGGGCAGGTGTTACCTCCATTTTACGCTGGGGAAGTGCAGGCCCAGAGCTGACGCAGCTGTTCCAGAGTCACACCGAGCCATCAGGCCACGGGCAGGGTGTGAACCTGCCAGTCTGACTCGGGATCTTATTCTCCCGACTGCTCGGCCGGGGCTCCCCAGGCATCACGCCTGCCGGCCTTCTCTGTGCCATCTCAGTCGGTCCTCAGGACAACTGTGAGGTAGTGCTGGTCTCATCTGCATTTCATAGATGAGGCCCAGAGAGGCTAAGTGACTTTTTCAAGGTCACGTCACAAAGCTGTAACTGGTGGAGCTGGAATTTGAGCCCTGGTCTGTGTGGTTTCACTGCCGAGCTCTCGTGACTTCAGCGTCTCCACGTTTTTCTGCTCTTGAGGGACAGCTCAGAGCTGTCACCCCGTAAACAGATGTCCAGCAGGACGCACATCTGAGGCTTCGAGATCAGAGGCCTCTGAGTGAACGAGGGGCTCTTGGCTTTTGCTTCTCGCTGGGCTTCCTCCTCCCAGCGTGCGGTGCCTGTGGACAGGCTGCTCCCTCAGCAGCGTGTTAACACTTTTTTAATACAATGTTTTCTTCCTTTAGAAACGGAGATGAGTAACTTTGTGTTCAGAGGTCCTAAGACTTCTCGGCCCCTTCCTCTCTTGCGCCTTCCTTCTGTCTGTTTCCACATGGACAGCAGCCCTCTTCCCCCGAAGCATTGGTGGATAGAGGAGAGTCGATTTATTGGAGAGAAGTCCTCAGAATCGCTCTGAAAACCGGTAGCCGAGGCCGCACCAAAGTGGAGTCCCTGTCTCCTTTTAAGCAGGGCGCGGGGAGACCCCAGTGAACGCAGATCTCAACGCCTTCTCTCCCTCCCACCCTCCTGGGCCTTGCTGATGCCCCATTTTACAGTTGCGGTCAGAGAGCTTGAGCTTTTGTTCTTTCTTCTTAGGGCTTGTCCACATTTCTGTGGCTTAATTTGGTCCATGTATGTAATGCTTTCCCCCCCTTAAGAAGTATCAATTCTTTCCTGATTACCAAAGCAATACGTGTCCATTAGAATAAATTCAGCCTTTATAGACATACAGGACCTGTCACGTGTGGCCCGTGAGAGGGGACGTTGGTCCGCAGGCCTTTGGAGTCGCCCCTGCGCTGACTGATGTGTAGCATTACTGTTGCTACAGTTGTCATTAAGAACATTTTAAACAAAAATGGAAAGCACGGGACGTTTTGTTTGTGACCCTTCTCGCTTGCCAGAGCTCCCGTGTCAGTCCGTATGGAGGTGCCCCTGTCTTTCCAGCAGCCGCCTCCTGTCCCACCGCGCGGACGCAGCGTCCTTTATCCGAGTCCCCTGTCGGTGGACAGCCCAGGCGGCAATTTCGCTTCTAGAAATGTGTCCTCCAGAAGCATGTGACCAGGGGAGGGTGAGAACCACGGCCTGAGTGGCCACGTGCGCAGTCCCCGCTGGCCCCGAGTCTCTGAGCCGCTCGCGAGCGCCGGCCGGAGGAGGGCCTTCAGGTCTTCCCGTTCCACAACTGGCCCGCCGCAAGTCTCTCTCACTTTGTCTTCTTTTGCACCAATTTCTTGTTTATTTCCCTGTAGCGGAATTATTTTGGCTGTTCTCTGTCTGTGCTCCTGCCGTCTGCCTGTTGGCCTTGGCGTCCGCTGCTGTCCTGGCTCTGCTGTTGTCACCCCAGCAAGGCTGAGAAGCTGCTCGAAATGCAGAACTGTAATTTCAGAATTCTAAAACAGTGTGACAACATTGTCGAACACTTAGAAGTTAGAGACACGGAAGAAATCAGCTGGGGGCCTCCCACCAGGACCTTCCATCTCTCTGCTGGGTCGCTTCCTCCCTGCTGTTTCCCACACGTGGTTGCTGACAGCTGTGAGTCGCTGCGGTCCATGTCAGGGTCTTTTCTGTTCAGAAGCCAAGCCTGTTCTGTGTTGTCAGGTTGCTACACAGACTTCACACTTGTCCTTCTAAAGTGCCACGTAATGTTGCAGCCGTAAACCTTTTTTTTTTTGAGGATGATTAGCCCTGAGCTCACATCTGCCACCAATCCTCCTCTTTTTGCTGAGGAAGACTGGCCCTGAGCTAACATCCGTGTCCATCTTCCTCTACTTTATATGTGGGACGCCTACCACAGTATGGCTTGCCAAGCAGTGCCGTGTCCGTACCCGGGATCCGAACTGGCGAACTCCGGGGCTGCCGAGAAGCGGAACGTGCGCACTTAACCGCTGCGCCACTGGGCCGGCCCCCATAAACTTTTTTTGAGTCAGGTTTATCAAGGTCTGTTTTCCATACAGATAGATTCGCCTTCGTGCTGTGCTGAGTCTCTGCGGACACGTGGCCGCCACAGGGAAGGTGTAGAACAGCCCATCATCCCCTAATTTCCTCCTTGTATGGTCTCATCTTTAGATTTTATATTGTACTGATCATTGCCGTTATAAATAGTGTTATGATAAGTAACTTAAAAAGTATATAGTTTATTTTTTTTTTAATTATTATTTTTTTTTTGAGGAAGATTAGCCCTGAGCTAACTGCTGCCAATCCTCCTCTTTTTTTGCTGAGGAAGATTAGCCCTGAGCTAACATCTGTGCCCATCTTCCTATACTTTATGCGTGGGCCGCCTACCACAGCATGGCTTGCCAAGCAGTGCCATGTCCACACCCGGGATCCGAACCGGCAAACCCTGAGCTGCCAAAGCAGAATGTGCGCACTTAACCGCTGTGCCACCGGGCTGGCCCCTATAGTTTATTTATAGTTTATTTTTAATGTAAACCTTATTGAATATAACATAAAAATGTGCACAGAGGGGCTGGCCCCGGGGTCGAGTGGTTAAAGTTCTGTGTGCTCCACTTCAGCAGTCCAGGGTTTGTGGGTTTGGATCCCAGGCACAGACCTACTCCACTCATCAGCCATGCTGTGGAGGCACCCCGCATACAAATTGGAGGAAGATTGGCACAGATGTGAGCTCAGGGCTAATCTTCCTCAAGCAAAAAAAAAAAAAAAAAGAGGAAGATGGGGCAACAGATGTTGGCTAATGGTGAATCTTCCTCACTCTCTGAAAAAAACAGTGCACAGATATGAGTGTTCAGGTCCATGACTTTTCACAAAGTGAAAACATTTGTGGAACCAGAACCCAGATCAAGAGAACACATGTTACCAGACCCCAAAGTTGTCCTCATGCCCCCTCCACCTCCCACCCCGCTGTGTAGCTCTGTTTTAAAATAACAGCTCTATTGAGACCTAATTCACGTGCTGTGTAATTCACCCATTTAAAGCGTGCAGTTCACTGGGTTTTAATGGATTCCCAAAGTTGTGCAGCCATCATCACAGTGAATTTTAGAACATTTTCGTCACTCAAGAAAGAAACCTCGTACCCATTAGCAGTCACTCCCCATGTCCCCAAACCCGGGAAGCCACCAGTCCAGTTTCTGTCTCTCTAGATTGGTCTGTTCTGGACATTTCATATAAATGGAATCCTGTGAGGTGCTGGCTTCTTCCACTTAGCGGAGTGTTGTCGCAGTCCGTCCACGTCGTGGCATGGATGGCTCCCTCAGTCCTTTTTATGACCGAGTAATACTCCATTGTAGGGACATACTGCACTTGCCCGTCAGCTGGTGGACGTCTTGGCTGTTATGAATAATGCTGTGAACATTTGTGCGTGTTTTCGTGTGAACCTGTTTTCAGCTCTCTGGGATATGTGCCTAGGGGTGCAACTGCTGGGTCATATGGTGACCATTTCTCATTTTGAGGGGCTGGCAGGCTCGCTTCCACAGTGGCCGCATCATTCTGCAGTCTCACTGGCAGTGCATAAGGGTTCCCACTGTATAGCTTTTGACAGATTTCGGATTCTTTCCATGGGACAGTTTCTTAAATGGGGTTTTGAGGTCAAGAAGCATGAAACTTTTCACAGGAGTTTCGATCTGTGGTGTACCTCCCCTCCGGGCGTGTCCGTGCCCACCCCCTCACTGTGGCTGGCATTGCTATGGGCTGAGAAACAAGATGCCAGAGCTTTGAAAATTTTTCTGTATGTGTGGTAAAATACATATAACATAAAATTTACCATTTTAACCATTTTTCAGTGTACAGTTTCATGGCATTGAGGACATTCACATAGTCGTGCAACCATCACTACCGTCCCGTTCCAGAAGCCGAAGCTTTTGAAATGATGTGAGAACTGATGTAGGAACAAGGCCCAGCTCTGATTGGGTGCTGGCATCTGTCGTGGTTCTCAAGGCCCTTCCGTCTGGGTTTCTGGAAGCATCTTGTTGGCGGGTGTCGGAATGCGGCTCCACATCTTCCTCCAGGGCCGCGAGTCGACTTGAATAGCTTTCAGGGCTTCAGGTGGCCCAAGCCTGGGTGTGGGTTAGGTGGCCATGAGGCTACCTGCTGGGTGGCTTTGGGGCTCAGGGTTGAGGACGGTCTGTCCCTTGCAGGTGACCTGCCTGCACACCCTGGGCTACCCCCCAGCCCAAGGGCAGGGTCTGCATGTGACCAGCGTCTCCTGGAACACCACTGGCTCTGTGGTGGCCTGTGCCTATGGCCGGTGAGTGGCAGCAGGGGTAGGTGTGGGGCAGTGGGAGGCACTTGGACCCTCGTCTGAGCCTCTGTCTCCCCATCTGTGCAGTGAAGGGTTGACCCAGAGCTTGGTGGTTCTGGGAGTCTTTCTCCAGGCTGCCTGCGTGGGGTTGGTAGCGGGTTGGGAGGAAAAGAGCAGGAGTGGGAGGAGCTTCGAGCCCAGGACTCATAGTGCCCACCAGCCATCAGCCTTCCCACCTTCTCCGTGAGCTTTCTCTGACGGGCTGGGGTTCCCCCACTCTGCCACTGCATGGACCTATCTTTGGTTCCCGGGACCCTTTTCCAGAGAAAGTCATGCCCTTGGGGTGCCATGGAGGAGCCTGTGCCACTTTGATACCCAGTACAGTGTCTGGGTGAGATGGGGACACGGGCTAATCTGTCTGAGGGTGGTTTTGGGGGAAAGGGGTCAGGCGATAGGAGAGAGATGGGGATGGGGGGCAGTCAGGATAAAGCCCAGCCCAGGGGCAGGGCCAGCTCAGGCATGTCTGTCTGTAGACTGGATGACGGAGACTGGAGCACCCTCAAGTCCTTTGTGTGTGCCTGGAACCTGGACCGGCGAGGCCTGAGCCCCCGGCAGCCGTCGGCAGTGGTGGAGGTGCCCAGCGCCGTCATGTGCCTCGCCTTCCACCCCACACAGCCGTCGCACGTTGCAGGTGAGCTTTCCACCCTGCAGAGGGCGGCCAAAGAGGAGCTGTCCCCTGGGCCCTCAGCCCTGGGCGTGGCCAGGGCAGGACTCCTGGGAGGCAGAGACCACAGGCGCCTTGACCCCTGGACTCAGGTGAGGATGCTGAGTGGGCCTGTGCCAGGCGTGGAGGTCAGGGGAAGCGGAGGCGGGTCCTCAGCAGAGTCTTGAAGGGCGCGGCCACGCGGAGGTGCGGTCTGGCCAGGAAGGAGGCAGGGTGAAGCAGGCGCCCTCTGGGAGCCCACGGGGTGTAGGAGCGGGCAGGTGGAGCTGGAGGGAGCGGCAGGGTGCTGGGCGGGAGAGCAGCCTGGCAGTGGGAGAAGCTTCCTGGGGCAGGCACAGCAGGACGGAGTGTAAGGCCTGGGGGACCGGGACTTGTCCTCCTCAGGGACCGTTTTCATGGAAGTGGCTCTGAGTCCTGCTCTGTGGGCGTGTGGGGCGGGTGCCTGGCCAGGAAGCTGGGCTGCTGGGTGGGGGTCAGCTCCTGCTCAGGCCCGCCTGGTTCCGCAGGTGGGCTGTACAGTGGCGAGGTGCTGGTGTGGGACCTCAGCCGTCCTGAGGACCCTCTGCTCTGGTGCACAGGCCTGACAGACGACACACACACAGACCCCGTGTACCAGGTCAGCACTGTGGGCTGCCCGGTGGGTGGGGGGCCACCTCTCCCCACTTGGAGCGGGGCCTTGCTGTCATGGGCCTGCTCTTTGAGGCAGAGCGGGAGAGGGCGCCTGCTTGGCACAGCTGTGCAAGGTCGCCAGGGAGTTGCAGTTGGACAGCTGCCTTCAGCATTCTTGGAGCTCCCTGGGCATGAGTCACACCCTGCCCTCAGCAGGAGCCACCCCCAGGGCCATCCCAGCCTCCTGGCCTTGAGCTGCCGTGCGGGGCTCCTAGCTGTCCTGGCTTTCTGCTGGCACTAGGGGAGGGACCCTTGGGTCTGCTACCTGGTGGGTGATGCGGCTCCCAGGCCTGCCCCAGAATTCTCCCTGTATTTTTTCTGGAAAAGAAGGGCAGGGTGGGGGTGGGGAGTGGGCTGGGGGGCAGGCATCGCTTTCTCCACTTTGCCCCTGCACACTGTCCTCCCAGGTGGTTTGGCTCCCCGAGCCCCGGCACAGCCACCACTTCCGCGTGCTGAGTGTGGCCACCGACGGGAAGGTGCTGCTCTGGCAGGGGGTCGGGGCGGGCCAGCTGCAGCTCACCGAGGGCTTCGCCCTGGTCGTGCAGCAGCTCCCACGGAACACCAAGCTGAAGAAGGTAGGTGGGGCCACGCCGAGGTTGCTGCCCCTGCAGACAGGCCCCAAGGCAGCCACCGCCTGTGGGACCTCCCTGGGCCAATGAGCCGCGGGGGTGGGCAGGGGCGGGCACCAGTGCTACCAGCCCAGCCATGACCTACTGCGTGACCTCCTCGGGTCACAGTGTCCACTTGCTTGCCTGGGCTCCTTTGGGACACTGTGACCAGTGCCCTAAGCTCTGTCCTGTCGTTTGTTTCTCCACAGCCTCCCCGTGGGGAGACCGAGGTGGGCACCACAGCGGTGGCTTTCTCCAGCTTTGACCCCAGCCTTTTTGTTCTGGGCACGGAAGGCGGCTTCCCACTCAAGTGTTCCCTGGCAGCGGAAGAGGCCGCTCTCACGCGGATGCCCAGCTCTGTGCCCCTGCGGGCCCCGGCACAGTTCACCTTCTCTCCCCATGGCGGTCCTGTGTACTCCGTGAGCTGTTCGCCTTTCCACAGGTAGGAAGGCCCCAACCTGGGCCTCGGGCACAAGGAGGGACCCTCCAGGCCACGCCATAGGGCTGCAGTCTGTCCTGAGCCCAGGTCTTCCCACGTGAGCCCTGGTATCCAGAACGCTGGTGGCTGGCCCCAGGGAATTGGCCCCTCTCTGCCAAGGACCCCAGGTTTGGGGGTGGGGGCTTTTCAGGAGCCTGACAGCCCGGGAGGAGGCCGGCAGGACGGCCCCAGCACTCATCCCTTGCCTGGCTCTGCCCTGCCTCCTGTCTAGGAACCTCTTCCTGAGCGCAGGGACCGACGGCCACGTCCACCTGTACTCCATGCTGCAGGCCCAGCCCCTGACCTCCCTGCGCCTGTCCCCCAAGTACCTGTTTGCTGTGCGCTGGTCCCCAGTGCGCCCCTTGGTGTTTGCGGCTGCTTCTGGGGAAGGTAGGAAGCAGGCACCACGCTTGGGTCGGGTCAAGCGGCACGGGCCCAGCATGTGCCTGGAGTTCTGGGGGGAAGACTGCACGTGGGTGAGGACTTCCCCCACGTGGGAAGGAGAGCTGAGCTGGGCGACAGCCTGACCTTGTGCTGAGGCCTTGACTCTCGAGTTTCTCTTCTCAGGGGCCTGGGGAACTCTGAAGAGGCTCAGAGGCTGCTGCCCAAGGTCCCTCTCACCCCACGCATCTCTCTTCCTGAAGGTGACGTGCAACTGTTTGATCTCCAGAAAAGCTCCCAGAAACCCACAGTTTCCATCAAGCAAACCCAGGATGGCAGCCCTGTCTACTGTCTTGAATTTAATCGCCAGCAGACTCAGCTGCTGGCCGCTGGCGATGCCCAGGGCACAGTGAAAGTCTGGCAGCTGAGCAGCGAGTTCACTGAACAGGGGCCCCGGGAGACAGAGGACTTGGAGCAGCTGGCGGAGGAGGTGGCCACCTGAGGACAGCAAAGCAACAGCAGGGTCCTGGCAGAATGTCCCTAGATACAGAGGCAGGTGGGCAAGGCCCCATCTGTGCTGAGCTGTGTGTTTCTTCTGGAAGCTGAATGAAGACAGACAAGCTTTTTGGGGAGAGTCATTTATTTGTCTTTTACATGAAAACAGAAAATTGGGGGGTGGGGGAGTGGAGAACAAGAGGGGAGCTAGCCAGCTGCTTAAACTTTTCTGAAGTCGGAATGGGGCAGCTGGCTGCGAGACAGGAATCTGGGTCCCCACAGCAACACGGCAACTGCGACTGGACCAGAGCGGTTTCTTGAAGCACCATTTTCTACTCTCTTTTCTCAAGCTAAGCAGGTTTAAGGTTACACTGGAAAGTAACACTGTGTGGAATACTTAAGAGCACAGAGATGAGGTGACATGCAGCAAGGTGACGGCAGGGCAAGCAGTGGTGGGCCAGCTAACCTAGGAGTGGAGCTCAGTTCACGAAGAGCGAGCGGGTGAACTCGACGTAGTCGAAAGCGGTGGGGAGCTCGCGGCCCTTGCTGTCCACGTAGGGCTTCATGTGGGAGACGCAGTAGTCGGCTTGTTCCCGAGTCAGGTTCTGGAGGGAAAGATGGCACCCGTCAGACACTGAGGCAGGGGTGGGGGCACACATGCCCAAGCTCAGAGTCGGTGACATCAGCTTCGAGCGGACCGGAAAATGTGGTCTGGACCAGGCACAGCTTCATTTGTAAGTGGGGACAGAACGCCTGGACCGAGCACAGGAAGGCTCAAACGGGGGCGGGGGGAGGGGGTCCTGTTACTCTAGACTCAGCTGTGCCCCTAACCCAGGGGCAGCCTAGGGCTTTGCTTTTCTAAGGAAACCTCAAGCCCCTCCTCAGGGCAGGGGCAGCAGAGCCCCCGGACCTGGTACAGCTCCTCCTTGGTCACGTAAGGTTTTCCTTCGGAGCTCAGGGCCCGGAAGGCGCTCTCGATCTCCTCGCTGGACTTGACGTTCTCAGTCTCACGGCTGATCATGAACGCCATGTATTCTTGCAGGGAGACGTGGCCGTCCCTGGGGAGGAGCAAGTGCAGTGAGCAGGGAGGGCCACAGGAGCCGCGGGCAGCACTGCTTCCACGGCCTTCCCTGAAGCTCACCTGTTGGGATCCACGGTGTCCAGGATCGCCTCGAACTCGGGGTCGGGCTCCCCTTCCTCCACCATGGGCAGGTCGTAGCCCAGGGAGCGCAGGCAGGATTTGAACTCCTGGTGGTTCAGCCGGCCAGACTTGTCCTTGTCGAAGTGTCTGCAGCACAAAGCCGAGAGCTGCTCAGCACACAGGCCCCGCTGCTGAGCCTGCCCCCAGCCTGGGAGGGTGCGGGGCATACTCACTTGAACATCATGCTGAATTCTTTGAGGGCCTCCTCGGTCACCCCTGTTGTGTTCCTGGAAGAAAGTACAAGAATGGCGACGGGGCCCTCCCCCCAACAGCAGGTGACACGTTCTGTTCTATCCCAGTACACTGAATGCTGGTCCCTGGGGGTGACCTGTGGTCGGTCGCGGGCCAAGACCTTTCTTCCCACAGCGCTCATGCCGCCAGCACCCGCCGGAGCCAGGGGCAGGTACCTGGCCTGGATCTGCTGCTCGAGATTGTGCTGCATGCGCATGCCCAGCTGGTCGAGCTGGTCCCACTGCTGGGCCAGGCCCACGGTGCTGTGCTCTGTGTACTTGTTGTCCAGGATCAAGGCTTCCTCCATGGCGGCCCCCAGGTCCTCGATCTTCTTCAGCTGACTTCTCATGGCTCGAATCTCCTGGTGCTTGCGCTGCAGGGGTGGAGGACCAAAGATGCATGGGACAGGGGCTCTCGCCTTGGCCACCAGGCCCAAGAGCCTCCTTAACAGTCCCCCTCAGTCTTGGCATTGCCACCTGCAGGGCTGTCTGGAATGGGAAAGGTGGGATGGAGTGAAGTGCAAGAAATCCAACGGAATCAGCAGAGGGAAAGACTTCCACATGAGTCACACCCGGGGGCAGAGCCTCGAGGGAACCAGTATGTACTGAGGACAGAAGGAGCCTCGCCCTCTTCAAGCAGGGCTCCCAGGAACAGCTGTCAAGGACAAAGGCCTTCTTCCAAGATGGGGATGAGGTCCTGGGCTGCTTGAAGCCAAGGGAAAAGGGGTATCCAGTCAGCCCACCTCATGCCCAACTTTAAACCAGGCAGGCCTGCTGGGGGTGGTCGGGTGCAGGGTCTTAGCTGGGCCAGAAGCCCTAGGGGCACTTACTTTGGTAGCTTCAAGCTGGGATTCGAGGGTTCCGGATTCTTCCACCATGCAAGACCTAAACACAGAAGCACCGTGAGGCAAGAGGGGCCTGACCGCAGCGCAAACTTACCTCTCTTTAGATAAACTGCCTGCAGTCTCGCATCCCTTTTATTAAGGAAACAAGACCTGTCTGCATTGGGAATCTTCTCCTACGCAGCCCTGGGAGCCAGGGAGGGCATGTACTATTTCTTCTGTTTCAGAGACGGCAAGGCTGCCCCATGTGGCCTGCCACCTGCTCAAGGCCAACTGTGGGCCAGGGCCGAGCCCCACCCAGCCTGCTCCCCACTCCCAGGCTAGGACCTTTTCTCATGTGGCTCCTCAGGCCCCGAGTTTAAGTTCCCCTATGGGAACAGAGAGGGGCTGCAGGCCTGACAGACAGCCTCCCTCTGGAGCCGTGGGGGAGGAAGACACCCTGTACAACGGCCACCCAGCAGACGGCAGACCTTAGGGAGGAGGGGAGGCTGGCAAGCTGACAGCCACCCCCCAGAAATCCCTGGAGTCTGCCACAGGTTCCTGAAGAGGGGAGCCACATTCTGGAGTGAGTGATGGCAATGGGGGGAGATGCAGTCAGATAAGCCCCCAGTCAAAGAAACAACTGGAGTGGTAAGGGAGCGTGACCAGATTTGGGTTTTGAAAGTGGTTCTAACTCTGCCCAAAGGAGGGAGGTGGCTGTGACTAAGGCCTGGATTCGGGCTCCAGGATCTAGAGACACAGTCAGCACCAGAGGCTCCTTCCAGGGCCAAGTTCCGAAGAGCAGGCGGGCCCTGGAGCCTCCATGTTCCCAACATAACACAGTGCGAGGTCACAGACAGCTACCGGTGAACGAAGACGACAAACGAGTCGGGGTTACGTGCAGGGACGAGCCACACTGTGCATGTGTCCTCGATGGGATTTAGCCCAGCCTCCCCTGGACCCACATTTGCCCCAGCCTACCCTCTAACACCCAGCGAGCCAGGGTTAGCTCCAAAATTCCCCCAAGTTCAAAGTGCTCTAGCAAGGCAAGGCACCAGGCTGCTCCTACCCCACAGATCAGACTCACAGTCACGCCACGTCCCCCAGGGAAAAGCACACCCCCAGGACCTGGGGGCGGGAGGCTGGGTGCTGGTGCAGTGGGAGGAGGACAGACCCCTCCTTCCCAAGCGGCCGAGGGCGGTGGGTTAGTCAGAAAGCGGAGCTGCCTGGGGAAGTCAAGAGTGCATCGGTAAAACCACAGTGAGGGAAGAAAAGAAAAAAGAGGAGAAGAACCTTCCAGACAGATCATCCCCAACTTCATACTGACAGACACGAATGACCCGCCGGTAGGCTATGCTAGTCAAAGAAAAGAAACCAAATGAATACACCACGAAGCGGAGCAAGAGCACACCGAGACAGACACACGGCCCAGGCTGGGCTGGCGGCGCGCAGAGCTGATGGCCCGCCTGGGAGGAGGCCAGGGCTGGGGAGGAGCCACATGGTTAGGGGAGCACAGCACCTCACGGAGACAAGACCGAGACCAGCAGACACAGCCACAGGGGCCGGGGATGGGGTTTCTGAGCTCAAGCTGGAAACTGGGACCACTAGATCCTGCCCGCTCGCCTTCAGCACACGTGGTGGGATCGGTGTGGGCAGAGTTCTCCTGCTGCTGCCTCAATGCCCCAGTCACCATCTGCAGAGCCTCAGTGTGCTGGCCTAAGCCACTGTGGTCCCACCAACCCTGGCCTTGACGGTGGGCCTGAGAGAGAAAGGTGCTTGACCCAGGCAGAGGCCAAGGCCTGGAGGAGGGGACCCTCCTGGGACTGGGCAAGACGGCCCTGCTCCTCTGGGGCTCCTCCTGAGCCCTGTCTCTTCATCACTCAGAGACCCTGGGCATATCTGCTTTCTGTGAGGGTAAATGATACTGTCCCCTCCCCTGGGAAACCTGGGGGACAGTCTAAGCCCTCATGGTGGCACTTGGGGAGAGGTCAGTGCACAGCTGGGGACTTACTGCACCAGCCTGAGCCCCTAAACACTGTCATCCCACTTCATGCCCGTGACCTCCTAGCGTCTGAATATGGTCCCTTTGGACACCTGGGGAAAAGAGGCAGAAGAGAAGTCCAGTACCATCCCAATGGCTGAATGAGCATGGGGATTCTCAGAGGCTTGGGCCTTCTGGCTTGGTCACATTCTCAGAGAACCCTCGGGGTCTGAACAGGAAGGTGTGGGTGGCCCCCCTCCCTAGACCGCAGGCTGTCAGGGACAGTGGGCTGCAGGGCAAGGCACACACTCCTTGTAAGGTGACGCAGCAAGGGTTGGGCAGGGGAAGTGCAGCCCCCTGGGCAGGAAGGCCCATCCTGGGATCCTCTGCAAGCCAGGCTACAGAGGGACAGAGGGCAGAGGGACAAGCACACAAAACACCACGTCAGAAGCCCGGAGAAATAAGAAGACAATATTAACCCATCGAGGAGATACGTTCTGCGGAGATGGGGTCCAAGCAGCCACAAGACAGGGTGGTGTCCAGACAGCAGCAACCAGGAGGCGGGGGAGAGAGGGAGACACAAGAAAGAAAAGAAAAACAAAACCAAGAACACATCAGTACCCACACTGCACCCAACCCTGGACCGTCTGCCACTGAGGTGCTGCTCGGGGCTGACCATGGGCCATGGTCCCTCCCAATCCAGGACATCTACCAACTTGATCTTTGGGAAAAGGACCTTCGAGAATACTGCTCTAACTCCGCCCTCCCCCGCAGCTCCAGCCAGACCAGGCACGCTCCCAGCTCTTCTTTCCTTATTCCCAGCACGCCTTCTGGTTTCATGCAAAGCTCCCTGCACCCTGAAGGTGGAGGCCTGGCATTCAGGCCCGGGGACCAGAGAG